CTGAACTCCCCAGACCCCTCCCCAAATTTCCGGACCCCTCCTGAACACCCCAGACCCCTCCCCAAATTCCTGGGTTCACCCTGAACGTCTCAGACCCCTCCCCAAATTCCAGGACCCCTCCCCAATTTCCAGGACCCCTCCCCAATTTTTTCGGATCCCTCCCCAAATTGCAGGACCCCTCCCCAAATTCCTGGATCCCCTCTGAATATCTCAGACCCCCTCCCCAAATTTCCGGATCCCTCCTGAACTCCCGAGACTCCTCCCCAAATTCCAGGACCCCTCCCCAATTTCCACACCTCCCCAATTTTTTGGGACCCCTCCCCAAATTTCTGGACCCCTCCTGAACACCCTAGACCCCTCCCCAAATTTCCGGATCCCTCCTGAACACCTCAGACCCCTCCCCAATTTCCAGACCCCTCCCCAAATTCCTGAGTCCCTCCCAAAATTTCCAGACGCCTCCCCAAATTCCCGAACCCCTCCCTAAATTCCAGGACCCCTCCCCAAATTCCCACGACCCCCCAGACCCTTTTTTCCCCCCCATCCAAATTTTGGGGTCCCCCTCCAAATTCTAATTCCTCCCTCCCAATTCTGACTCCCCCCAAATCCCTGAGACCCCTCCCCAAATTCCCGAACCCCTCCAGAGCCCTTTGGACACCCCCAGACCCATTTCCCCCCCCAATTCTGGGGGTTTTTTTGGTATTTTTGGGGGGAAATTCAGAGTTTTTGGGGCTCCCCAAACACCGAATTTTCTCCCCACCATTTAGGGGCGGTCCCAAAAATTTGGGAACCCCTAAAAATTTTTGGGGCGGGGGTCTCAGCACCTTCACTCCCTCCCAAAAACTTTCATGCTGCGCGAGAACCGGGGGGGAGAAAACTCAAAATCCGCCAAATTTGGGGCGGAATTTTGGTTTTTTTCCCATCCCCGCGGGCGGGATTTTTTCTCCTCGATTTAAGGGGGGGGTCTGCAGGATTTGGGGAGGGGTCTCACCGGATCCGAAGGGGGGGCAGAGCAGGCAGGAGCCCCCCCAGGCTTTGCCCACGCGGCTGCAGCAGCAAACCTGGCGGGTGATGTTGCGCAGGGTGGGCAGCGCGCAGCCCCCGCCCTCCCGCAGCAGACGGAAACACGGACCGCGGGCCTCGCTATCCCAGCCCATCCCGTTCTATCCCATTTCATCCCTTCCCGGACCAGGTGGGTTTGGGGTCTCCCCGGAGCCTTTGGGAGAGGTTTTGGGGCTGGGGGCGCGCCTGGAGAGCTCTGGGGCCAGCCCAGTCCAGCCCAGTTCATCCCAGTTTGGCCCAGTTTGGCCCAGTTCAGTCCACCCCATTCCCAACCCCAAAACCGCCCCAAATGACCCCAAAGGTCGCGCACAGATGCAGCGGGAGCGGGAGGAGCCCAGCGGGAATCCCACCCCAAACCCCACAAGTGACCCCATAGATGACCCCAAATAACCCCACAAATGACCCCACAAACCCCACAAACCACACCATAAACAATCCCACAAATGACCCCAAACCCCACAAACGATCCCACAAAGCCCCAAACCCTACAGATGCAGCGGGATCGGGACGAGTCCAGCAGGAATCCCACCCCAAACCCCACAAATACCCCCATAAACCCCACAAATAACCCCATAAGTGACCCCATAAATTACTCCAAACCCCATAAATGACCCCAAACCCCACAAACGATCCCATAAATGACCCCAAACCCCACAAATGACCCCATAAACCCCACAAATAACCCCACAAATGACCCCAAATGACCCCACAAACGATCCCACAAATGACCCCAAACCCCACAAACGACCCCATAAACGACCCCAAGCCCTACAGATGCAGCGGGATCGGGACGAGTCCAGCAGGAATCCCACCCCAAACCCCACAAATGACCCCACAAATGACCCCATAAATGACCCCATAAATTACTCCAAACCCCATAAATGACCCCAAACCCCACAAACGACCCCATAAACGACCCCAAGCCCTACAGATGCAGCGGGATCGGGACGAGTCCAGCAGGAATCCCACCCCAAACCCCACAAATGACCCCACAAATGACCCCATAAATGACCCCATAAATTACTCCAAACCCCATAAATGACCCCAAACCCCACAAACGACCCCATAAACGACCCCAAGCCCTACAGATGCAGCGGGATCGGGACGAGTCCAGCAGGAATCCCACCCCAAACCCCACAAATGACCCCACAAATGACCCCATAAATGACCCCATAAATTACTCCAAACCCCATAAATGACCCCAAACCCCACAAACGACCCCATAAACGACCCCAAGCCCTACAGATGCAGCGGGATCGGGACGAGTCCAGCAGGAATCCCACCCCAAACCCCACAAATGACGCCAAACCCTACAGATATCCCCACAAATGACCCCATAAACCCCACAAATGACCCCATAAATGACCCCATAAATTACTCCAAACCCCATAAATGACCCCAAACCCCACAAACGACCCCATAAACGACCCCAAGCCCTACAGATGCAGCGGGGTCGGGACGAGTCCAGCCAGCCCATCCCGTTCTATCCCATTTCATCCCTTCCCGGACCAGGTGGGTTTGGGGTCTCCCCGGAGCCTTTGGGAGAGGTTTTGGGGCTGGGGGCGCGCCTGGAGAGCTCTGGGGCCAGCCCAGTCCAGCCCAGTTCATCCCAGTTTGGCCCAGTTTGGCCCAGTTCAGTCCACCCCATTCCCAACCCCAAAACCGCCCCAAATGACCCCAAAGGTCGCGCACAGATGCAGCGGGAGCGGGAGGAGCCCAGCGGGAATCCCACCCCAAACCCCACAAGTGACCCCATAGATGACCCCAAATAACCCCACAAATGACCCCACAAACCCCACAAACCACACCATAAACAATCCCACAAATGACCCCAAACCCCACAAACGATCCCACAAAGCCCCAAACCCTACAGATGCAGCGGGATCGGGACGAGTCCAGCAGGAATCCCACCCCAAACCCCACAAATACCCCCATAAACCCCACAAATAACCCCATAAGTGACCCCATAAATTACTCCAAACCCCA